TGATCGGAATATTGTGACCAAATCTGTCACTTCTTCGGTGCGACACTTCACCCGATTGTCATCACAAGTGCACGGATTCATTGCACTCAACTCGTGGGGACAGACAGCCCATACACCGGTGCCATGTATTATAGAAATACAAATAGAAATACTTATAAAATAATTTTCAAACATCATATTTGTATAATTAAAGCATTAACATAATTTATAACAGTTTTAAAAAACTTATTTACTAATCAAAAATGTTATTTTAGTAAAATTTTATTTAGTATTAAATCAAGTACAAAATCTAATATAATCGATAAAAACATTAAAAACAATAATACTCAAAATATTCTTATAACCTGTGTAAATAATTCATTAAAACTTTTATTTAAATAGCATTTTGTTTGAAAAGTAAATTTGCACTTAAATGTTTTTACAATTTAATATGAATTTAGCAATAATTTAAATACTTATTTATTGATAAACAATTATTTCAAAAAATTATCTAGCATTTTATCATTTTATTACACATTTAAAAAATTATTTTATACTATTTTAACATCAAATATGAATCAGATGTGATTTTTAATTTAATAATTTTTAATGATATAAAATTTAGCTACAAAACAATTTTTGAACAGATATTAAATATCTATTTAAATTAAATTTATGTATTGTATTCTATTATAATTAATGTTTTGATTCAAAAATTAATGCCTAAAAAGTTTTTTTTATGGTTATAATGAATAACACTTTTAGCCAAAATGTATACCAAAATTATTGGACACCTTTTAAGATTAAAACTAATAAAACTAAAGGTATATACACTAAATATAGCTTTAAAAAATAATTATTTGATACGATATTAGGAAATGAATGATTTAAACAAAAAAATTATTAATTTTTAAAGAAATAATTTTTATATTTAACATAAATAATGGTGTGTTTAGAAATTTGTATTAATAAAATCACATATGAATTGAATAGACATTTATTCATTTTTCTCAACGGATTCAGTCACTGGATCCTCAATCTCTTTGCCAGTAATAGTCTGATAATAAAATATAATCATCCACTGTGCAAATGAATCACAAAACATTAGCACAAATATCATTATAACACAATAGCCATACTGACCACCGTCCAAATGACATTCGTAACCATAATCAGTTGCATAGAAATATAGAGCACTGCAATCAGAGAATATGTGCAAGGTATGTTCAACAGAGCCCTGTATATGGCATTGAGGGGAAAGTAATACAATCGGCTGACGATCCAAGTGATGGGTAATACAACTATGCAAAAAATATAGATAAATTTGAATTGCGGTCTAATTGAGCCTTTAGGTTCACGCAATGCATGACACAGTTTGGGACAATCCAAGAATATATCGTTGATATCGTGCAGGAATGCCATCACAATCCCCACGTCATGGGCCCTATCAGGTGGGGAATGGTAGACATTAACATATTGTAATTAGTGTAAATCATATGACACTTGTTTGCATACATACCGAGACATATACGATCCGAAAAAGAGTACCAAGGATACAATGTGATGAAATATTATGAGGACCATTTGAACGGTCTTTTTCTTACTTGAATCGATTAACTCTGAATAAAATCCTTCCAAATAGTATGACATTTGTAAGAAGTAATACAATTTAATTAATGCCGGCAATGGTGTGGTTTCAGAATATTCTGGTAAATGAAAC